AAAAAAAAAGCTGCCAGCCCTGATCCCTACCATTCTCAGCGGATGTGCGCCACCCAGCGGCCACACAGAATACCACTCTTACCCACCTTCCAGGCCTGGTGAGGCTGTGTGTAGGCACGTAATGGGTAGGTACTGAAGGGAACCACCGTTCCAATTCACTCTCCCTACTCAACCTTAAGGGAATCCTTGAGCGACACATTCCAGGACCAGAGTCCACATCACACTGTTCCTACCCTAGAGCCCAGCGACAGTGTTTGTGGGTGTATGTGGGAGGGCAGAAAAAGTGCTTAGCTGAAGGACCACCACCAGGGTACCTTCTCTTACCAGGCCCTTGTCTGCTGTAACCCTGTCTTGTCTCCCACACTGCTCGCATGAGCGAGACCACATTACCAAAAAGCTCTGCACAGCTCTCCCCTCTGGAGCAGAGATCAGCCATCCTGCCGGCAGCTGTTAGGGCCAGTGGAGCCCAGGGCAGGGCTCACAGTTAATCCTGTCCCTGTGAGGCCAGATGCTGATGAGTCGTGTTCCTGCCCTGCCTTGTGACAAGACTGCTGAGTGGTACCTGCCTGCCACCTCTGTCCCCTGTGTACTTGAGAAGACAGGGATTCCTGGGTGGCCACAGAAGCTCGGCATCTCCCTGTCCACAGCTGACTCCCATGGGGCCTCCATGGGAAGAGCTCAGTTCCAGCCAGGCATCTTTCCTGTAATCCTGGCAGTCGTGTAGTGTTGGACAATCTGCTCAAAGCCCAGGAGGTCAGAGGACAGTTGAAATGCTTGCCTTCCTACGTCTCCCTTGGCTTGGTACAGGGTGGGCCGCTGGGGAAGCCTGTCTTCTTTTGGGTGATTTCCCTTGGCAAGCCCTAGCCTTCTGGGCAGGCCCCTCCACCCTAGTGGTCGTTCTGCTCTGGAGACACAGTTTCTGGGGTACGCAGGGCTCTGCTGGTGACAGCAGTGAGTGTAGGAGAGCACAGCTTCGCCGGGGCTGAGCCAAGGCAGAAGAGCTGTGCTCTCCGGCAAAACCAGGTTAGGAGGGAGAGGTGTGACCTCGTTTGTCCTTACTTCAGCATGACATGGTGTCACTGTCCATGTGGAGAGGGTAAGAGCATCCCCTTATGGGGAGAAGTGCAGGACGTGGGAAAGATGGAGGCCTGGAATGGGGCTTCAGGAGCTAAGAAACAGCCACTTGAAGGATGCCCAAGGCTATGGTCTGAGTGGGTACCTACTTTATGCCTATATGTTCTAGGGTTTTTCTTCTATTCTCCCTTAGTATTGGATGAGTTTTCCAGAAAATTCCCTGCTCCCCTCAGTGATACAAGAGAACCAAAGGGAGGGACAGTGTCCACTCTGGGATGGTAGAAACAGAAGCAGAACAGGGCCATGGGAAGAGCATGTGGTGACCACGGTCAGGGAGAGAGTGCTCCAGGAGAAAAGGTGTGGGGGTGCCCCTCCACCCTGAGTTCCTCCTTGGAGCCCCTTCCCTGACTTTGCAGGTTAGGATTTCATCTACTTGGAGAGGATTTTTATATCTAGTAATACTCAGAACCCAGCAGTCCTGAGAAACTGCCCTTGAACTGGGCGATCCTCAGAGGCAGGGGAGGAGGGGCTCAGGCCTGTCTCCAGGGGCAGCTTTCCCACAGGATGGATGGGTGGGCGGGCAGGACTTGGCCCTGCTGCTGTGGCCAACTTGTTCCCTGCCCCTACCTGGCAGCTCAGCTGAGCCTTCACTGACATCGAGCCTCAGAAGACATTCAGCAAGCAGGTCACTGCTCTCCAGGTGAGACAGCTCGGACAGGTACAAGGGCTTGCGTGGGCTCCTGGGGGAGGAGCCCCACCAGGGGGCTACTGTGGGGAAGGGCGGTGAGGGCAGAAGTCACATGCTGGTCAGTGCAGCACACAGGCACCTTGTTCTCAGCCCCAAGTTGCGGCTTCCAGTGCTGGGAGGGGCCGAGATCCCCTCACATAGTCCACAGGCACCCCTGCCAGGGAGGGGTCTGGCTGTCTCCTGGCAGGATCATCGCTGCCCAGGACTTGGGCGGTGAGTATGCACTGCCTGGCTTAGGCATTCGGTGGGCTCACAGAAGTGTCTGCCTTGCTCGGCTGGGGCTGAGTCTGCAGGCCTGGTGCGCACAAGGTATGGGGTGTGGGCCTGGTCCTGGGGAGCATAGTCAGAAGGGAACGGAGCTGGCCTTTAGTAACAGTGCTGCTGGAGCCTCTGGTGCAGGCAGCAGGTGAGAATCATCCCACAGATCTGCCAGGAGGAGAGGACAGAGAGGTAAGTGACATCAGGACCTCAGGTGCTGGCTGCTGGGACCCTCCTTCTCAGAAGGGGCGGGAGCCTGAGAGTTTGCATCTCTCATGAGCCCCTCACTGATGTTGCAGGTCTGCGGTCCCAGGTCTTCTCTAGAGAGCCCGGGTTAATGGGCTCTTAGACATCAGCATTCCCACTCTCCCACTAGAGCTGTTGGAAACATCTTTCTCTAGGCTGAATCTGCCTGCGCTCTGCTACCTTCAGACTCCAGAGCAAAACAGGCCCAGGGTTGATGCTCTGGCCCATGCTCAGACATTGGAAGGAGCATCCTGTGAACAGCTCGGGATGCAGACCAGGCCCGCGGCGACCTGTGGGAGAGCCACCCCCAGTCCAGCAGCGATACACAGGGGCTGCTACACACTTCCCACCAGGGTTCTCAGCTTCCGCATTTGTCCTCCCTCCTCGCTCTTTGTGGGTCCTTCTGCTTTCTCCTCTTCCTCTTCTCCCTCCACCCAAGGGTCCTTGGGACACAAGGAGGTGGGGGTGTGACCAGAGAGCCCCTGGGCTGACATCAGGAACTGCGAACAACAGCGACGTGCTGGGTCTCACTTCCACCCAGAGGGGCCACCGTGCCCAGCAGCCCCACGATCTCCTGGCACAGGGGTGAAGTGGACTTCACTGAACACAGGGGAAGTGCCTGACTTCTGAGTTTCCTCATGGGCCAGACGGCAGTGAAAGCCTGGTGTCCATGGCTCCAGCCAGAGAGGAGGCCAGGCCGGTGGGCGCAGTCTCAAGGAGGCTGCTTGGCCCTGCAGGGCTGGCTCAAGGCAGGCACCAAGGACGGCCCACCTCCCCCTCTTCCTCTCAGGTGACATGGAAGACAGCAGAGACCACGACTGCTGCCCTCAGCTCACAGCCTCTGTGCTAGGAGCAGCCCAAATCCCCCGGGAGACGCGGGGTCACAGGCCCAGGGCAGCTCAGGAGTGTCCTCCGCTCGACTGGCCTTCAGTCATGTGCACTCCTGACCCGTGTGCCTTGATGGTGTCTGCTTCTTCCCGATGTGTGCTAAGGACCTGGGCGGAGAAGGCTGCTGGCTTTGTGGGGGAATGAGCTGTGTGCACATCTGCAAAGAGCACAGCAGCCAGGCGGCGCTGGAATCTCGGATGGGATATTCCCAGGGGCCTCCTTGGACAAGACATTAGGGTGGAGCTACACAGGCACACTCTGTGTGTACACACCTAAGCACAGATGCCAAACACTCCCATCCTGACTCATGCAGAGGGCTCTCATCCATGTGTGTGCACACACAGGCACACCCCCTTCCTTGACCCTTGGATCTCAAGGGAACACTGGTGGGTCTCCCTTGCAAAGGACTCAGAGAAGCCAACATGAGCAGCTCCAGGCAGCAGCAGGGGTGAGCAGGGGCGACACAGGGAAGTGTCGCAGTCTCTGGACTGCGAGGAGGGCCAGGCCAGGCCAGGCAGCACGGTGCTCCTCTCGGGGCTGCTGGGAAGGGCACAGTACCAGGTGGGCACCATAACAGGGGCCCAATATGCTTAGCTCCTTGGCTGTCTCTGAGCCGGCATCTGGCTGTCATTAGATGGCCAGGGGAAAGGGTCAGGGCAATTCCTGGAGGCTATTCGGTCTTCCCTTTCCCTGCGAACAACCAGCAGACCCCAGTGTGGAGGCGAGAGGCTGTTTTGGGAGCGTCTGAGCCTGGTGCCTGCTTGCACCCAACAAGGATGATGGGACCCAGACCCTCCTCACCCTGTGTGAGCCCAGCAGGGCGATGGCCGCTAGCACCCTTCAGTGGTACTCCTCCCTGCCAGCCAGTCAGGACTGCGCAGGCCAACCCACTACCTGACTCTCCCCTTCTGCCATTTCCCCTCAGAGTTCTTTGGAGACCCCCACACTTCCTTCCTTCAGGAAGCCCTCCCCAACATCCCGGGCCTGGTGAGGGCCTCTGCAAACTCTAGGGCTTGCACTAACTCCATGCTAGGACTGTGCAGTGACTGCTGTGTACGAGTCTGCCAGGGATTACACCCTGCTCCCTGCAAATGCCCAGCACAGTCTCAGCCAGAATACTCTAGGAGTTACTCTAGTCACCTAAATGGAGTGCCTTCAGAGTCCACCCTGAAATGGGTAGGGGGGAATAGCCCCAGGGTTAGCACTGTGGCTGACTCTGCCCTGGGGCTGTGTGACCTTGGGCAAGTGTCTTTCCATCCCTGGGCTTCCCATCTGTCCTGGATCCTCAGATTTCCCTGAATGGGACAGGCCCAGTGATAGGGAAGCATCGAGAACTGTGCTATGGAACACGGGGATCTCGCGAAGACCCCTGCATACTACTGTAGTCCATTGTGCTAGGGTGCAGCCTGGGTCTTAGGGCTTTACAGCTTGCCAAGGTTGGAGACTACTGCTCTGGGAGCTTTGCAGGGCTCCCTCCCACTTGGCGGCGGGAGCTGGGGACCTCCCTCGGTGTGGCCCGAGCCTCTCCTGGACAGCATGAGACTCCACCGCCCCCCAGTCCGGCCCCATGCTCTGTTACAGGTTTGATGCAAAACAATATAAAGGTTCAAACTCCGAGAAGATCTATCCTCTCAGCACAGCTTTCTCGGCCACCAGGTTCTTTTCTCCACTCTGGCTTTATCATTTCATAGATCAGCTCTCCCCGAAGATCTGGCCAACGACCAAAATCCTCAGCTACCCGGGCTTTCATTGAGTTCACCTGCTGGGGAAAGGCTGAAGATTGCCCGGCCTTTGCAAACCCTGCCGCTCTCTCTCACAGCACAGGTGTGCAGCCCGCACCACCTCTCTGAGCTTAAAGGTGAGGCCTGTGTCCGTGAGGACACTCAGCAACCTGCTGGCAGGGCTCACTGCGCTCTGCTTAGTTCCCAGGACTTCTCCAACCGCACTGGAGTCTGCAGCACGCTCTCCAAACTCAGAGGGCTGCAGCTGGAGGCATCCCAGGCCTGGGCCAGCCGAGGGGCCCACGCTGTGTGGTCAATGTGGCGTGGCTCAGCCTGGAGCCTGGGGAGGGGGCAGCAGCTGGCCCAGTGGGCTGGGCTCAGGTGAGATTTCTACTGACGAGCAGATTCTGCTACTCTACAAAAGGCTCAGTTCTTCTTTCCCTATCCTTAAAAAAAAAAAAAAAAAAAAAAAAAAACAAAAAAAAAA